GTTTTAAAATTCAGGCTAAAACCTCTTTTTCAGAACAAGGTAGAACTAATAGTAATTATTATTCCCAGCCCTATACTAGATATTTCACATTTCTTCTCTATGATCCCCTTAGCCTCCTGCAAAGTTAACGGTGTGATTCCTAGTTTTCCATAAGGAAGCCGAGGCTGAGAAGAAGATAAAGCAACCTGACTAACAACCCACGTAGAAGGTGTTGAGAGCCAGGATAGGAGTTGAGTTCTTCACTGCTCTAGTTCTTCTCACTGCCTCCTTAAATGTCTCCATTCCATCCTGGCTGCCACCATCCACACACAGTGACAGCTGTGACATAGTGAATGAACTTGAACTTGAAGATCAGAAACAGAGGGATATTGACATCTTCCAATATGTGAAAGGTGACCAAGTGGCCAACTGCTAGGAAATGTGATGTTCAGAACCATACTCCCTCAACATAGTTTGTAATAGGATATTTTGTAAGTCTGTGTTTAAGTGTTCGGATATTTATTTGTGGGATTATTTGATTCGTGCCTGTCTCTCTTTCAACAGTGAGCTCCTTGAGGACAAAGCATATGACTGTTTGGCTTGCCAGAGCATCTCCTGCTCCTAGGCATGGTGGCTGGTACACTAGTGGGCATTTAATACACGTATACTGAATGAATGACAGCTGGGACTCACCACCTTTACTGACTGTGAGCTTGGGCAATATAAATACACGGTATATACAAAAATATAAATATGTGATCTCAAGTAAACATCAAAAGCAGCCACGAGATGGGAATTATTATCTCCATTCTGTAGACAGAGAAACTGAGGCTCTATGCATTAAGTAACTCACCCCAGTGTGCATGAGCTGCGCTTTGATCCCAGGCCCATCTGGCTCCAGTGCTTTCTAAGCACCCATGCTTCCTAATGTATAAACAGGGAGCCATCCCACCAGTATCAGTTGGGTACTCTCTGTAAGAAGATGCTGACAAGCTGATTTTACAGCCTCCTCCGGAGAGAAACCCCGCAAGCTGATAGAGCTTGCACCTGGATGCCTCCATGGTCAGTCTTCCCAGGCAGAGGAAGGTCTGCGCTGAAGCCTCCACAGTTGCCCCACCTGCTCTGTGTGTCTCCCTGGACATGCCTCCACAACCCCATGCAACATCACTAACTCAGATCTGTGTTTTTTTGCAGGCTCAGGAGGCAGCAGGGACAGGGCAGCCAGCTCTTGGATACCGATGGCCAAGCTGGAGGCCAGGCCCAAAGCAAGCTCCAAGACGGCTGCAACAACAACCTCCTCACCCACACCTGTACCCGCGGCTGCAGCAGCTAAGCCCACACCTGTTGCTGCCCGATGGGACTGCACACGTCTCTGCCCTGCCCACCTAGAGCTCCCTCCTCTTGTGCCCTGATGGTCCCTGTCTCGACCCTGAAAACATCAGATGCAGAAAGAACCCTGGACTTGGAGCTGGGAAGCCTGGGTTCTGGTCTCATCTCCCGGACTGATTCACTGTGTGACCTCAGACACGTCACGCCCTCTCTGTGCCTCAGTTTTCTGCATCTGCCAAAGGGGTTACACACTTCTGCCCCGCTTCAAATTACAAGAGTATGGGGAGAGCCCAGTTAGCTAGGCAAGATGAAAAATCTTTGATATTTATAAAATCATTTTTACGTATAACTATACCTTAATATTTGAAGTGAACCCTCCTTCCCCAAAGCAATTAAACGGTCATGACTTTGCAATTTGGCACATCCTAGCCTGTTAGAGGGCGCTTTTGAAAACCACAGCCCTGACAGCAAAATACGTGTCTGATATGTTTGCCCCTTCTAAGGAAACAATGCTCCCAAACCCTGGAGCAAAACCTGAAGTGTCTTCATGTGCATTCTCTGGCAGGCCACAGTCTTTCTGACCTTGTAAGATGGTGCAGCATGCGGACCAGCCTTGTCCCCAAGGTCTCAGCGCTGCAGCTGCACTCCGCCCCTCATTCACAGAAGATTGTCCCTACCTTTTAATCGCAGCAGTCCTCACCACCACCATATCCCCAGTGCTGGGAAGGCACACAGGTGTCCATTTAGATGAGAGTCAGGCGGGTCACTGATTTCATTCAGGTGAGAGTCAGGTCGCAGAGCATTGGTTTCTCCTACAGAGTGTAATCAGCACCCCATCCAACCTGCCCGAAAGCCCACACCTGCAGCGGAACTCTTCAGCTCTATCAGCTTGCGGGGTTTTCTCTCCTGAGAAGGGTGTAAAATCAGCTTGTCAGCATCTTCTTACAGAGAGTACCCAACTGATACTGGTGGGATGGCTCCCTGTTTATACATTAGGAAGCTTGGGTGCTTAGAAAGCTGATTTCAGGAGGAAAGTAGGTTCACACCAAGAGCAAACTACTTTCTGATCTGGACAGGAAGAAGCTTGGATTTGAATTGGAAGAAGTTGGGGGTGAGCAGGGGAGGCTCAGACTTTGGAGTCAGGTTTGTGTTCAGAATCCAGCCCTGCTGGCTGCTAACTGGGAGATTTCTGGCAAAGCGTGCAGTCGCTCTGAATGGCAGTTTCCTCATGTTTAAGCAGGGAGGGCTAAATAAGATCCTGTGTGCAGCCCCGAGCATTGGATGACTCATCGAATGGCCTTTTGTGTCAGCGTAATCTGCATCATTTAGATACTTTCTTCCTTCACTCACTTGGCAGGTCAGTTTTCTGGGCAAACAAGCCTCCTGTAGAATTCTTCCAAACGTTCTTCCTCTGGTGTTTCTTGTATCCTGCTGAAATTCCACTGTTGTTATTTTGTCATCCAGCTTCCATTTCTTCACTTTTTACTTGATTACTCAATCAAGTAAAAAGTGAAGGGCTGTCCACGTCATTTCTTAGATTTTTTAAAAGACATTTTAATGTATGGTGAGGTTTTATATTTTTATTTTTTAAAAAACAGAAAGAGTCATTGTTTTCTTCCTTTGAACTTAGGCTATTTCCAGATTGTGGGGTCCGCATAAGTCGACTTGTTTCCAACACTTTTTTACTTCATTTCCCCATCACCACCATCCTGCTCCCACCTCCCCAGGAAATGACGGGTCTGCTCCTCTCCTCACTGTGATGCTGCAGGCTCTTAAGTTTTTTGGTTTTTTTTTTAATTGGGCTGAGTTTGTGAATTAGGGACAGGAGCTGTAAGTAGCCCTAGGAACACTGGATTTCCTGGTTCTGTTTGATTTGGCGTTTCTTGTTTGGAATAAACTATTTCTTGGACATTCCTTCTCACAACGTTGTTCTTAATTCGGGGTTGGGTGGGATGGGCCATGTTCCTCTTAGAGTGAAGAGACTCAAGTTTAACTAGAAACACAGACACGGGCATTGGTGGTGGTGCGGACACCGAGCCGATGATGACATCACCTTGCCCACACGTGAAACCAGACTTAGCTTGACAGTTGAAGGTTCTACTTGACTTCATCCCAATCTAATGATTATTGTTATTATTTTGTATTTACCAAGGTACCATCTATTCACTAAGGAAAAAGTATAGAAAATTCTTCACCCAGAGAAAAACAGCAGTCTTTAAAATTTCCTCTCAAACCTTTATACAACACACACAGGTGCAAATGGACCCGTATTTTCCTTTTCTTTCTTTTTTTTTTTTAATTTTTTATTGCATTTTAGGTTTTGGGGTACATGAGCAGAACATGCAAGACAGTTGTGTAGGTACACACATGGCAGTGTGTTTTGCTTCCTTTCTCCCCTTCACCCATATTTGGCATTTCTCCCCAGGCTATCCCTCCCCACCTCCCCCTCCCACTGGCCCTCCCCTTTTCCCCCCAATAGACCCCAGTGTGTAGTACTCCCCTCCCTGTGTCCATGTGTTCTCATTTTTCATCACCCGCCTATGAGTGAGAATATGCAGTGCTTCATTTTCTGTTCTTGTGTCAGTTTGCTGAGGATGATGTTCTCCAGATTCATCCATGTCCCTACAAACGACACAAACTCATCATTTCTGATTGCTGCATAATATTCCATGGTGTATATGTGCCACATTTTTCCAATCCAGTCTATTCTCAATGGGCATTTGGGTTGATTCCAGGTCTTTGCTATTGTAAACAGTGCTGCAATGAACATTCGCGTGCATGTATCCTTATAGTAGAACGATTTATAGTCCTTTGGGTATATACCCAGTAATGGGATTGCTGGGTCAAATGGAATTTCTGTTTCTAAGGCCTTGAGGAATCGCCACACTGTCTTCCACAATGGTTGAACTAATTTACACTCCCACCAGCAGTGTGACACATGTACACGAATGTTCATTGCAGCACTGTTTACAATAGCAAAGACCTGGAATCAACCCAAATGCCCATTGAGAATAGACTGGATTGGAAAAATGTGGCACATATACACCATGGAATATTATGCAGCAATCAGAAATGATGAGTTTGTGTCGTTTGTAGGGACATGGATGAATCTGGAGAACATCATCCTCAGCAAACTGACACAAGAACAGAAAATGAAACACCGCATATTCTCACTCATAGGTGGGTGATGAAAAATGAGAACACATGGACACAGAAAGGGGAGTACTAAACACTGGGGTCTATTGGGGGGAAAAGGGGAGGGCCAGTGGGAGGGGGAGGTGGGCAGGGATAGCCTGGGGAGAAATGCCAAATGTGGGTGAAGGGGAGAAGAAAAGAAAGCACACTGCCATGTGTGTACCTACGCAACTGTCTTGCATGCTTTGCTCATGTACCCCAAAACCTATAATCCAATAAAAAATTTAAAAAAAAAAAAAAAAGTGTTCCTTTTTCTCCACATCCTTTCCAGCATCTGCTGCCTCCAGATTTTTTCCTGTCCTCCCTGCTGGGGATGCCTCTCAGCTCTAATCTGCATGTGTTAAAATTCCCATTTCTCAAAGGCCAATTCCACTTCTCCCATGATGTCTTCTGGGGCTCATGCCACACCCCCTCCGTGAACTCACAAACCCTGGCTGTGACTCAACGGCTCTGCTTTCTATGACTCAGGGCTCTGCTTGCTGCTAACTGCACCTTCGCATTGCTGTCCCCCATGTGTCACCCTCCTTGCCTTCAGGCCCCTCAAAGAGGCCGGGTCTGATTCAAGTCCATCTCTTCATTCCACCTTCCTGTCCTGACAGTGCCTGACTCATAAGGAGCAACCAAGAAACTCTCTGCTTAGGTACGGCTTCCTTTCGGCACCCTCCTGCCTTCCACCTGGCTCCACTGTCACTTCCCAGAGCGTTTTCCTCTCAGGTCCCAGTGTTTTTTCAGGGGCTACCCTCTAGTGGAGTGCCCAGCCCCCATTCACCCCCTTCAGAGCCATCTGCTCATGATCTCCAAGTTCCAAATGAGTTTTGTCCTTCCCTCATCTGAACCCCCACTCCCCATAAAGCACTGGCTGGAAAGCAATCTGATTAAAGAAATCCATTCCCATGCAAGAATTTGCGTTAGGATTTACCCAATGATTGGGCTGTAGCCCAGTGGTGCACCGGGACATGCTGACAATACTGAGCCGGGGTCCACGCTGTGAGTAGCAAGGATCTAGACCTCCTGCTCGTGGGCAGATCAGCCATGCCTGGTGGTTTCTGTATGGTCTATGGTAGTTATCTTGCTACAACTGCAGTGCTGAGCAGCTGCAACAGAGACCCTGTCGCCCACAATGCTGAAAATATTTGCCACCTGGCCCCTTAGAGACACAGTTGCAGAGCCCTGACCTAGAAGACACATCCAGGACACTAAGTGGGCAGATGACAAATGCACATTTGCTTCCCTCACTTACAAAAGCCGGTGGGTCTCAGAGCTTGACATTCCAGCCCTGTAAGTTCCAGGGGAAAATTTGCAGTGGAATGTATGGTCCATTTGCCCTCACCCACTCACTCTTGAGCTTTTTCCAAACTGGCGCCCTAACCAATAACACTTCCCAGGACAGTATTATTGAAAGTCTCTGTATTAGTCTGTTCTCACATTGCTATAAGGAACTATCTAAGACTGGGTAATTTATAAAGAAAAAGATTTAATTGACTCGCAGTTCCATAGGCTGTACAGGAAGCCTGGCTGGGGAGGCTTCAGAAAACTTACAATCATGGCAGAAGGCAAAGGGGAAGTAGGCATGTCTTACGTGGCTGGAGAAAAAGGAAGAAATAGTAAAGAGGGAGATGCTACACACTTTTCAACAACCAGATCTTGTGAGAGAACTCACTCTCAGGAGAACAGCAAGAGGGAAATCCACCTCCACGATCCAATCACTGCCTGCCAGGCCCTTCCTCCAACACTGGGAATTACAATTTAAAATAAGATTTGGGGCCGGGTGTGGTGGCTCACACCTGTAATCCCAGCAATTTGGCAGGCCAAGGTGGGTGGATCACCTGAGGTCAGGAGTTCGAGCACAGCCTAGCCAACATGGTGAAACCTTATCTGTGTGAAAAATACAAAAAAAAAAGAAAAAAAGATTAGCCGGGAATGGTGGTGCGTGCCTGTAATCCAGCTACACAGGAGGCTGAGGCACAAGAACTGCTTGAACTCAGGAGACTGTCTTGACAGTGAGCTGAGATCAAGCCACTGCACTCCAGCCTAGGTGACAGAGTGAGATTCCATCTCAAAAATAAATAAATAAATAAATAAATAAAATGAGAATCGGCTGGGACATAAATCCAACGTGTGTCAGTCACATGCTGTCCTCCTCCCATGTAACCAGGCCCTCCCAGAAGTCCTCGGCACAGTCTCTGTTTCATGCAGTTTGGTTTCCACAGCACTTGTCACACTGCCCAGTTGATGGTTTTGTGCCCCACTTCTCCCTCATGCAGGCTGTGGGCTCCATAGGGTGGGCTGTGCACAGGTGGCTCCCAGCACACAGCTGCCTCGAGGCAGGTCCTCAGCAGACATAGAAGTTGCACAGACACGCCCACTCCAGCCCTGGACTTGAGCCACTTTTAGCAAACACCTGTCACTTGGATGATTCAGCCCACACATTGTGCCCTTCCTGTGGCATCATTTGCTATCCGTCCCCTTTCCTCTTCCAATCTCAAACATGAAATCACAGCACAGTCTCTGCCGTGTTTAATTATCGACTGCCACAAAGAACAGATACCTGTTCCTTCCACGGTGATCACAGGCAAACATGATCAATGGATTTCCCTCTTGGTGTCTCTGCACTTCATGTTTATTCCCGTCTCTCCCAACACACATTTTCTAATTATTTCCACCCAGCAGGGAGAGTGGCGAGTCACACATGAGCCTTTCCCAGGTATCATAGCTGCCATTCTTGCATCATCCTAATTCTTTTTTTTTTTTTTTTTTTTTTTTTGAGACAGAGTTTCGCTCTCGTTACCCAGGCTGGAGTGCAACAGCGTGATCTCGGCTCACCGCAACCTCCACCTCCTGGGTTCAGGCAGTTCTCCTGCCTCAGCCTCCTGAGTTGCTGGGATTACAGGCACGCACCACCATGCCCAGCTAATTTTTTGTATTTTTAGTAGAGACAGGGTTTCACCATGTTGACCAGGATAGTCTCAATCTCTGGACCTCGTGATCCACCCGCCTCGGCCTCCCAAAACATCATCCTAATTCTAAAAATAGATTTGTTCAACCACCTTTTGTGCTTAATTCAATAGCATTTTCTAGATAGAAATTAATTTCACACATTGCTGTAGTCTGAATGTTCATGTTCTTCTGAATTTCATATACTGACATGTCAACCTCCAAGGTGATGGTGTTGAGAAGTAGGGTCTTTGGGAGGTGATTGGGCTATCAGGGTGGAGCCCTCATAAACATAATTAGTTCCCTAAGAGGTCCTGGAGAGTTCACTGGCCCCTTCTACCATATGAGGACACAGGGAAAAGGTACCAAAAAGCAGTTCCTGCCAAGACACCAAATCAGCCATAATCCTGGACTTCCCAGCCCCTGGTACTGTGAGAACTAAATTTCTGCTGTTTATAAACTACTCCATTTATGATATTTTGTTACAGAAGCCTGAACAGACTAAGACACACATCATATTTTTAATGAGTTCTTGATGATTAAGAATGAGGTTGGGAAGTTCTCTAACAGAGTTTTGGCCAAGACCAAGAGAAATGTGTCTGATCAATCAGCTTTATCCATCTTTCTCAAAGCTCTCTTCAGTTCCCCACCACCACACCATGTTCCCAAGAGAGCTGGGAAAACAGCAAAATAGAAATCAAAATGACTATATCAATATTGAAGCCCCAACACATAGCCCTGTTAGAAGGTCAAATCAAAGCAAGAAGCACAGAATCAAAGCCTTAGCTAGGCCCTGGGATCTTCCCAAACTTTGACCTTGGCACCTGCAGACAAGGGTGCCAATCACAGCAGTGCAATCCGTTACTAATAGTGGCCCCATTGATGGCTTAGGTTCAGACCTATCAGAAGGGAAATTTCTCTTTCATTGTGGGAGAAATGAGTAAGGGTGCAGACATGGCTGGCAGTGGAAAATGTGCAGAGATTCCCCTTTTCTTTGTATTATTAAGCTGTCAGAGAGTCCTACTCTCTCACAGAAACCAAAATCAAATAAAGTCAGAATTTATTCAGTTGCCTTCTAGACATCTTCTTCCATAGAACTTCCCCACTCACTCTTTGCGGTCATGGCAAGAATATATTGGTGGCCATGCTCTTCTGTGTGACATTTTATGTCTATACCTCTGAAGAATTCGCCCCAGAGTCCTCCAAGCCTCCATCTTGGAGGTGATTGGTGATTGGGCTATAGGTGGGGGGGAGCTCTCATAAACAGAATTAGCACCCTAAGAGGTCCCAGAGAGTTTTTCAGCTCCTTTACCATGTGAGGACACAGAGAAAAGGTACCTCCATCTTGGAGGGCTCTGGATGTTACTAAGGTCTTGACACTGGCCCACCTGCCCGCACATTAATATGGCAAACCAGAGGGGAGCTACCTTGGTGTGCTCAACGGAAGCTCCCTTCGTCAAGACCAGCAAGCTGGAAAAGAGATGATGGAGGATGCATTCCAGGCAAGGAAGACCAACAGGCAAAAGGACCTGTATTCACAGTTACCCTCGGTTCTTCCAAGAACAGTAAGGAGGCCAAGGGGCTGGAGCTTAGTGAGTAGAGTGAAAAATGGTACAGATGAGGCCACTGAACCAAGCAGGACCAGATTATGGAAGTCCTAGGGAACCCCGGGGAAGAGTTTGGAATTGTGTGATGAGATGCTTTTGAACTGTTTAGAGAGAGGAGGGCAGTGGCTACTCTGTAGACAATAGACAGTGGGGTGGGGATAGGGACAAGGGTAGAAATTGGGAGGATACCAGTTAGATAGATGATAGAGCAATCCAGGTGACTCAAGGGGGTAACCCTGAAGATGCAGATGGATCAGTGATGTAGGGCACATCACAGTGACCTACGACTCCATCACAGTGGCTCTCAAATAGATGGATTTGAGACATTTCTGGAGAACTTGCAGGTTGTATGGGGTGATAAAGGAAAGAAGCAGGACTTTAAAAAATTATGCTTTAAGTTCTGGGATACATGTGCAGAATGTGCAGGTTTGTTACATAGGTATACATATGTCATGGTGGCTTGCTGCATCCATCCTCCTGTCTTCTACATTAGGTATTTCTCCTAACGCTATCCCTCCTCAATCCCTCCACCCGCTTCTATCCCTCCCCAAGCCTTCAGAAGCCCCTGGCAGGCCCCAGTGTGTGATGGTCCCCTTTCTGTGTCCATGTGTCCTCATTGTTCAACTTCCACTTATGAATGAGAACATGCAGTATTTGGTTTTCTTGTGTCAGTTTGCTGAGAATGATGGTTTCCAGCTTCATCCAAGCCCCTGCAAAGGACATGAACTCATCCTTTTTTATGGCTGTATAGTATTCCATGGTGTATATGTGCCAAATATTTCTTATCCAGTCTATCTTTGATGGGCATTTGGGTTAGTTACAGGTCTTTGCTATTGTAAATGGTGCCAAAATAAACATACGTGTGCATGTGCCTTCATAATAGAATGATTTATAATCCTCTGGGTATATACCCAGTAATGGGATTACTGGGTCAAATGGAATTCTATTTCTAGGTCCTTGAGGAATCGCCACACTGTCTTCCACAATGGTTGCACTAATTTACACTCCCACCAACAGTGTAAAAGCATTCCTATTTCTCCACATCCTCTCCATCATGAGTCAGACTGACCTGGCTGTGCTACCATGGACCAGTAACTTG